TTTCATGTTTTAGGATATATTTGAGGGTTTTTTTTAAATTTTGTGAGAGAGAGAGAGAGAGAGAGAGATGGAGGATTTGAGAATAAAACTGCCTGCAGTGGCCTCCTGGAGAGAGGGCGGGGAGGGAGGAAGGAGGCAGGGTCAGAGGCTGAGGGCAGAGGTGAGGTCACCTGGGGTCAGGGGTCAGCCCTAGGTCTCCAGGGAAAGCAATCCTCTCTCGGACCAGGTGTTTTCCAAACCTCAGATTACCATTCTGGAAAATCAATTTAATGGGATGCCAGTTCATTTGTTAAAATGCAAATTACATAAGGCCAAATGGAAGTATTAGAAAAAAAGCCAATTTGGGGGGGTTACCAAGCATTGTGTGTGTGTGTGTGTGTGTGTGTGTGTGTGTGTGTGTGTGTGTTTTAAATAGAAGAAAGACAAGAGCACGAGTTGGGGAGGGCAGAGAGAACACAGAATCCGAGAGAAGCGACCCGGGCTCCTGAGCTGTCAACACAGAGGCAGCTACTAAGCTGAACTCACAAACCGTGAGATCATGACCTTAAAGTGATTAAACTCAACATATTATGAGCCAACCAAACTAGTATTTTTTTAACGTTTATTTATTTTTGAGACAGAGAGAGACACAGCATGAGCAGGGAGGGCAGAGAGAGGGAGGCACAGAATCGAGGAAACAGGCTCCAGACCATCAGCAGAGCGACTTGGAGCTCGAACTCACGGACATGAGATAGTAACCTGGCTGAAGTCAGGACAGCTTGACCATCACCAAGCCCCAATTTTTACCCAATGAAAGAACAAAGAGCCTCAGTGGCTCAGTCGGGTTAAATATCTGACTCTTGATTCGGCTTCAGTCATGATCTCAGTTCGTGAGTTTGAGCCCCATCCCGGGCTCTTCACTGACAATGAACCTTATAGCAGCATTGTTTCACCCCTCCCTACCTGCTCACTAAACTCTCTCTCTCTCTCTCTCTCTCTCTCTCACAAAATTTAAAAAAACCCTCAAATATATCCTAAAACATGTGAAAGAATAAAGATAAAATAGGTCAAGAAAATATATAAATGTGGTGGGTTGCAACAAGCTTTGTTTTTTACAACATCAATGTGTTGTAAGAATAATAGCTTTGAATAGGTAGACTCAGGGTACCAAGAAAAATTAATCACTGGTGGGTTGACCAGCCTATTTTATAAATTTTGTTTTATATGAAACAAAATAATAGAATAAAATAAGTCCACTAAAGCGTAGCAGGAAAAATGAATTCAGAAGATTTGCGATGAATATATTTTGAAAAATATTACAACATTTTTTCATTTATTTTTGAGAGATAGAGAGACAGAGGTGGCTTGAGGAGGGGCAGAGAGAGGGAGGCACAGAATCCAGGCGACTCCAGGTTCTGAGCTGTCGACTGCCCGGCGGGGCTGAATTCATGAACGAGATCACACAGGCGGTCGGGCGGCTCCACCAGTGAGCTAAAGCCCCTGTGACGAACATTTTAAAGCGAATACAGTAAAGTAGAATACAGTAAGACAGAAAGTACCAGCAGGCATGTGTCATGGGTGAAAGTATTAGTTCATGACCGCGATGTCTCGAACCTAAGCGTAGATGCAAACACAGGTTGTATTCTCTGTCCGTAAAATCTATGTGTTTGTGACCGCTCTTCCAAAAGGAACCCAGCCGAAGCCCCACAAATCTGATTTGACCATGAGTTATGGTTTAAAAAAACAAAGAAGAAGAAGTATATATGACAGGTACTGTCACGTGGCCCTAAAAGCCTAAATATTTTGTTACCAGTTTCTTTATGGGCGTTTGCCAGCTGGTGGCGAGGAGGCGACCTGTGAAGTCAGAAGAAGATTAAATTAGATCATCTGGATGTTCCTTCTAGCCCTTTTCTGACACACTAACACACATAGAAACTATGTAAACATCCATCTTGTAGGGGGGCTGCCTGAAGAAATAAACTATAAACTATTTTTTTTGCGACAAGCTCGAGTGTATGGTGAAAAAACAAACCAGAACAGCGGGTGTGTTGATCTGAGATGCATCTCGAGGAGCCCGAATGCTGAGCTAGAAAAGCCAGTTGGAGAAGCGTGGACAGCTTGATTTATTTAAAGCACTAAGATATGTAAAACAGGATTGTATACTTCTCCCCACAAGCTAGTGCATTTCTACAATATGAAAGTTGACATGAGGGGCACCTGGGTGGCTCGGTTAGGTTGAGCATCTGACTCTTCACTATCCAGCTCAGATGTGATTTCAGGGTTGTGAGTTCCAAGCCCAGTGCTGGGTATGAAACCTGCCAAAAAAGAAAAGAGAAGAGAAGAAGAAGAGAGGAGAAGAGAAGAGAAAGAGAAGAGAAGAAAAAGAAAAGAAATACAGAAAATCTTGAGATGCAGTCTGGAAAAGAAGGAAGGAAAATGGGCAAAACACCCAAAGTCCTCAATTTCAGTCAAATCAGTAAAGTTTCCTTTCTTCCACTGGTTAGAAGACACACTTGTGCTTGTTACATTATTCTTTCTAAAAAAATGGTTTATTTATTTATTTTTTGAGACAGAGAGAGAGAGAGAGAAGCATGGGGAGAGGAGGAGAGAAATCCCAAGCAAGGCTGTGTGCTCTCGAAACTTAGTCTTGAGACCTTGAACTCATGAGCAAGTGAAATCATGACCTGGGCTGAAACCAAGAGCTGGACACTTAACCAGTTGAACTGTGAGCCCGTATGTGATTCTTACACTTTTTTCTGAGACCAATAATCTAGTAGGTCCTCTGTGTATGTCGTGGGAGAACAATAGGTACAACAAGCAGTCACCGTGAAATTCAGGATGTGTGCCCTTTGCAGGTGGGGTTGCCGCCTAGGCAAGCAATGAGGGACTTTGGGGAAAAAACTGTAATTCCTTCTTCTTGGGAGGGATTCTTGAGTTGACTTGATATTAATTCACAGTGCATATTTGCTTTGTGGGGTATTCTGTGTCTGAGTTTTTTTTTATCTGCAGATATGGGGTGCCTGGGTAAGCAGTTAAGCACCGACTTCAGCGCTTTCTCTCTCTGCCCTTCCCCATTCACACTGTCTCTCTCTCTCAAAATGAATAATGTTTTAAAAAATTAAGATGGGGGGGGCCCCTGGGTGGCTTTCCGGTTGGGCGTCGACGGCTCAGGTCATGATCTCACGGTTAGGTGGGTTTTGAGCCCTTCCCGGGCTCTGTACTGACAGCTCAGAGCCTGGAGCCTCATTTCCAATTCTGTGTCTCTCTCTCTGCCCCTCCCATCATGCTCTGTCTCTCAAACATAAATGAAACGTTAAAAAAAAAAAATTTTTTTTAAGTTTGTTGTTATTTTGAGAGAGAGAAAATCGTGTACTCAAGCGGAGAGAGAGAAGAGAAGAGAGTTCCAAGCAACCCCACACTCCAGCCGCCGGAGCCCAACACGGGGCACGAACCCACAAACTGTGAAATCGTGACCTGAGCCGAAATCGAAAGTTGGGTAACAACCGACTAGACCACCCAAAGCGTAGTATTTTATTCCTTAAATGAGCAGCGATCTGGAACAAATCAGGAGAATTTAATGGCGGCGATCGCGGCATGAGGCGACCAGGGGGGCAGCCCTGATGTGTAATGTTTACCAACTTCCCTGGTGAAAATACTCCCGTCAGAGCCAGCTTCAAGCGACCAACTCGATGTCACTAATGCGGAGTGGGAGGGGCGTCTGCAAGTATTTTTTGCACGATTTTTTTCCTCTCTCTCTGTTTGGTATGCTGAAGGGGAACACACACACACACACACACACACACACACACACACACACACACT